TACTTCTCTACGATTAGATGAGCACTGAGACTCACCCTTCTACCCCACCCCACACGGTACACACCTCAAAGCCACAGCTACTAGTTTCCAGGTGCTAACACTGAACCCCAGTCCTCAATGGGAGCTAGAAACACAAACCCAGAATCCTGACTACCAGTCCCCTTCACTAACCACTAGATCCCCTCCACCTTGTCAGAGCTGAGAATGAATCACGTGAGTCCAGAATCTCAGTTCTCCACTCTCTGACCTGGGAGCCCCCAGCCCTCTTCCTGAACTTGGGATGGAATCCAGCACAACCCATCACCTGTTCTCTGCATGCACTCAGCCAGTGTTGCTTCTGCCAATGAGGTGTTTACTTCTCAGATTTAATTATCTGCCCGTGAACTACTGCGGTCAGGACACAGAGTTCTGTATCCAACAGAAATAGGTCTCCAAGTGACCCTCACTCCCAGCAACAAGGATTCTTCAATACGAGCAGCTGACCATGGAAAACTTGTAGAGTTCTTGGTTGAAACGCCCACTAGAAGCATCCAGCTTCCTGAAATCATCCCTTGGCCGAGTCTTTATTGGCTTCAAAGAAAAACCAAGAAACCACTCTCTCACATGTACCTAAGTGGATCCTAACCATCAACACTTAGGACCAGAAGAGAACAAAATATTGGGAAAAAAATAATTAAACCAAGACATGGACAAAAATGGAAATGCTTCAGAACTAAAGAAAATAAAGTAAAAGAATGAAGCCACAGAATCAGGTGTCAAACAGGTCAAAATTTGAATGATTAGACAATGAACAGGAGCAACTTCTTAAAGCCTGATATTAAAGTTGGCATCAGTGGACCAGAGACCTTAGGCAGTCCTCCAAGGATATTTTCTTGCTGCTTATCCAGAACTTCAGAGTTTTCAAATGTTTCCCTATTAGAGAAGTTTCTAAGATCTCCCCGAGGTGCTTATGGTCTGGAAAGTACCTTCATGTTCCTCATGGGCTTGTTTCTTTCCAAATATACACAACTATTGAAATATTTAATGAACTCTCTCGACTTACTCCACTACCTTCAAAGTCCCCCCCCCATGACATCCCCTTGCCAACATCTGCATGACATGCTGAGTTGTAAAAGTTTCATGACGTAGCAGTGACTGTGAACCTGCCCCCACTGTTATAACATCCAAAGTGGGACAAGCCCCAGAGCTTAGTGGACCTCATGACCCAAGTAAAGTAAGGAGTTGTTGTAGGCTGCCTGCTGTGTCTGCTACCTAATCTCACAGCACCTAACAATGATTCTTTGGCCACTGTATTTTTCACAGCCCTGGGATGAAGGATCCTTGAAGTGCATCACTTCCACAGCTCATGAGCCCTCAGAATGAGAATGAAGAATAAGAAGTGGTTTCCTTATGCACTCACAACAAGCAAATATTACCATCTGAGGAACAGAATGCACACAGGGAGAGAGAAAGCCACAAGTTGTAGGATATGATGGCTGGATAGACCTGATTTGGAAGGAGGCGGCGTTTTGTGTCAGTGCAGACCACCTACCCAACAGCACTGTGAACTATAACAGGCTTAGTGTCTGATGCCCCCTGGTGTTTAGTCCTACCCTGCTTTCCTGCTTTGACTGTCCTCTCCCAATGGTTTCCCTGATCTCATCTGCCAGGCCCTGAATGTATTAAGTTGGGAGTCAGAGGGGCAGTCTGGTGTCTCTCCCCACAGTGCTCACCACTGAGCTGTTGCATGTACGTCCCAGCCAAAATCACGGTGTGGTAAGCCACTCCAGGCAACTGCTTGCTGCTTCCTCCCATTTACTGATTTTCAGCTGTCTGTCAGGCTCATCAGCTTTCCCTATCTTGCTCCAAGCTCTCTATTCAGACTCAGTCCCACAACATGCCAAAGAGCTCCAACTCAGGGTGTGAATTATGGGGAGCTCCAGGTAGCTGGCCCCCACCCCCATAAGAGACAAGAGCCCCCCTGTAAGATTTGAAAATCATAACGTGAGTGGAGGGGGTGTCCAATCAGATTAATCCTTCACTTACATGGACTTGTAAAAACATCCCTTGCACAAAGCCCCAGACCTTAGTGGACCTCATGACCCAAGTAAAGCCAAGTAGGGTTTGGCTAACCTGTATGCAGGGCTTTCTACTGTCTTCCCGTACTACACAAATCTCAGATTAAAACCTGCACATCCGAAAAACAGAAAATAATCAAGACTCAGGATTTTCAACACTTGTTTCTTCAGACAGTTCAGTAAAGGCTAAGTGTTCTGGTAAAGTACTTTTTTATTTACAGTATTTATTTTTTCTATTTGTACATACCTCTAGCAACATCCAAAAGTATTCACAAAGCTTAACTGAGTGTAAAAATGTTATTCCACTGGCCATTTGGCCTATCAACTTGAAATTTGGAAAACGCTGCCTTTTTCCATGAAGTATCCAGATTGTCTAAGCATTTTTTTTTTTCTGGTACCTTCAAGGGCCCCACTTAAAGAAAAAAAGAGGAAGAAACAAAACAGAAGTTAAACATGCACAACTAAACTTGCACCTGTTTTTATGTACCCAGATTATTGTACATTTGAATTCAAAATTGCTTTTAGAAAAGGGGAGGGGGCAAGAACATGAGCAGCCAGAAATCTGTGCACAAATTATCAGGAGTGCAAATTCAGAGGCCAGGCTCGGGCTCCTTTTAAAACTGATCCCAAGTATGTAGTTCTATATTTACAATGCTTAGCCACGGAAGAATTCTTATGGAGTGCTCCCAAAGCTATGGTTTATTAAATAAGGCTCTATTTCAGAGGTACTAAATATTTAGTATCAGGTTCTCTCACATATTTGTACTTTCCTCTCTGCACAGACCTGGAAGTCTGTTACCAACAAGCTTGTAAAAATGCTATTAAGAAATGGCTAATCACTGATTTCCATACATGAATTGGAAAAAAAAAAAAGTGTCAGGTGCTCACTTTTATTTGACTTTCAGAGTGGAAAAAGTTTACATTAAACTTATATAAAATTGCATTTGCTTTTGCATCCAACTGGTAACAGTTCTCCAGTACATAACACATTCAAACGCTAGGACAAAGCATGGTCACCTTTTCTCACACAAATAGCTCCCTCAAAACTAATGGGGCTACTCACATGAGTAAGGCAATCACAATTTGACCATCAATGACTAGAAATAAAAGGGCTGAATCATTCGATTAGTGACGTTACACACCTGACCTCTTGCAGGAGTTTATCCGATGCTCAAACTTCTGATGGAGTGTTTTTATGTTCCTTTTGAAGATAGAGTTAGAGTTACAGTCTTCAGTTTTGCCTGTTAGTGGCAGGTAGACAGTGCTTGGGGATTTCTTCCTCCACTGAAATTGTATCCTAAACTGAAAACTAAAAAGTAGATGGAAGGCATATTTGAGGAAGAAAGCAACAACCCTTAGTTGCTATTAGGGACTGCTTCTTGCCGTACTCACTTCTTTCTGCATACATTTGACTTCCCACATCTTAGCTGGATCAAGCTTTAGATCTGATTTACAGTCTGACCTGAAAGGGTTTCCATTTTTTTGTGCCCATAATTGTGTGGGTGCAAATATCTCCAGGTACAATTTTTCTTCACAATTATGTGCACTATTTCAGCAATTTAAATGAAGAGCAGGTTTTGATAATCTGCTCCTTTAAATGCAGTAAAGCCTGGCATATATTATCCCTGTGTATGAATCGGAATTCCTAGGGTTATCTCTAGCGCCGTTACTGTAGCAATATCACAGAGAAAGAGTCTTAATAAGGATTCCATTCCCCCAACCTACTACGTCCAGATAACATAACCAGGAAGTATACCATCAGTCACTGAAGCTATCTGGAGGTACAGGATGTTATGATAAAGCAAGTCTCTTAACCATAACATGCCAGATTCCTCTTGGGCTCTTGAATGTCCAGTTCTTGCAATGTGCTACCTCTTTCCTCCGTCTCGATCATGGTAATCACCTGGTATTCCTTGTCATTAAGACAAGCCAATCCTTTAGAAATGATCTGAAAGAGACCTTGGATTTCACGGCCATAGGCTAATTCCTCCAAGTGTTGATACTGCAGCCATCTGTGTCTTTTTGGCAGAAGGTCAATACGACAGTCCTACAACATGTGAGCAAGTCCAACCTCGTCTCCTAAAAATGCAAGGAAATGCAAAGCAGTCCTGCCGACCCATTCTATAGAGCTGAACGAGACATCAGTACCAGCTGACCAGATATGGCAGTAAGATGCTAGCTCTCAAATTTCTCTCATAGCACAGAATGTGCTGCCTGTTACTTGGGGCTATTGTTTCCCTCTACTCTCCTCTTTAAAAAAAAGGAAGTATAATGTTAGTTAAGCTGAGGTTCAGAAATGCATATATTTTACTTAAAAACATTCATCTGTTCAAAATTCAAAATAAACTTTATGGGATACAACAGTTTGTCTTTTTTAAATAACATTTCATTCAAACTGTATATAATTTGTTAAAGTATTCATACAGCAAACAATGGTTAACCCTTGAAAATCTGTAGAAAAAGATTTTCACACAAAGAAATGAAAACAAAATTCTGAGGTATCACACCCACACACAGACACACACCCAACCACACACCACCCACACACACACGCAGGCTGCAGCAAAAGCAGAAAATCGTAGGCCCAAAGGAAAATGATGATTGATTGTTCCATTTGAGAGTCCAGGTAGCTCAGAAAAAAAAAAAAAAAAAAAAAAACAAAAAAAAAAAAAAAAAAAAAAACAAAAAAAAAAAAAAAAAAAAAAACAAAAAAAAAAAAAAAAAAAAAATGAACAAACCAAACCAAAAAAAAACAAAAAAAAAAACCAACTCACAATAGTCCTCTGAGTAAAGGAACTACCTCAAGAAAGTTCTCAAGTGCACTGGAGACCTGATCATCTAAATTGTTTCTGCAAAGCAGCTCCCTGCACCTGAGAAAAATGCAGCCCAAGGTGACTTGTGCAAATATAAGGAATCAGGTGAGGCTACTTCCTGTTATTCCTTAAATAGATGTGAGGGGTGTCCAAAGATTCACTTCATCTTTGATCATGCAAGATACTGCTGGAGTGCTGTCTTCGCCCTGAAATCACAGATATTCTATTAGTAACTGGGTTTGGACTTTAATATTTCTTTCTTTTTCACTTTATTAATAAATCCAACTAATCAAGCAGCAGACTAACATTCAAAGATGCATCCAAGCCCCCACAATATGCATACCGAACAACAGATATTTATCTTCCAGCAACAGTGCTCCCTGAACCCAAACCAATGTCCACAGGAGTCTTGTGTTCTTTACTCCTCTTCCTTTCAAACTTTGACAGTTCCTTTATGTTTTCACCAATGTTTTTGTGTTTCTTCATCTCTGTATAATAATTCACCCCCACTTTTTCCCTAGAACACTGCATAATACAAATCTCACTATCCTCTACTCACCCGTTCTTTGAAATTTTAAATTTATTCCAGATTTGTTCTTTAGTGTTGGCTCATAAAATTTGCGTGGACTTCAACATTTCTGTGCAAGAGTTTACCCTGTACAAGATTCTATGCAGAATGCCAGCTAAATGGATAATGAGCATTGCCAAACAAAGTAACAAGCAAAGAATCCACCTGTTCCTATTTTATCAAGCTTGCACACTGGGAGAAAGGGAAGATGATGTCTTCTATGGACAGGCTCATAGAATAGCACTGGGAAAGCACATGTAAGATTCTCCCATCTGGAGGAAGAGGGGGAGAACTGTAGAGCCAGAAAGTGTGCTAGTGGGGAAGTACCTGGTCTGGTATCAATACAGACCTCTCAGCAAAGGGGGATCCAAGTGAAATTTTGATGAAAAAGGTACAGGCACAATGTAAGACTGGGAGGAAGTATTAAACGGTGTTCCCCAGGGTCTATCCTGAGTCTGGTGCTTTTCAGTATCTCCATTAATGACTGGATGGAACTGAGTGTGCATTTATTAAATCTGAGGATGATAAGTGGGATTGTATTGCAGGCAGTTAAGAGGATGTGATTTAGATTCAAAATCACCATGGCAAAATGGAAAAGCAATCTGAAATAAACAGAATGAAATGCAAAAAGGACATGTGCAAAGCATTGCTTTTAGGAAGGATCCATCAAAAGCACAAATACAAATGGAAAATGACTGGCTAGACTGCAGTACTTCAGAAAAGTGCCTGGGGGTTACAATAGATCACAAAGTGAATATAAGTCCACAATGGGATAGCATTTGAAGGGTGGGAGACAGCCAGCAGCACACAGGCTTGTATTACCTGGAGTGCCACATGCAAGTCACTTGAGTCAACACAACTGGAGTTATGTTCAGTTTTGAACATGACATTTTAAGAAAGATGTGAACCAATTAGAGAGAGTCCCAAGAAGAAAACCAACAAAAATGAATCACAGATCTTAAAAAAAAAACCCAACAACAACCCCCCCCCACACACACACACCATAAAAACACATGACGCATGAGGAAAGGTTGGAAGAATTGGGGTTATTTACTTGAGAACAGAGAAAACTATGAGCAATTCAATAACCTTTGAATATAGAAAGGATTGATTAAAGAAAAAGGATGGTGATTTTACTGTTAATAGAAAATGGGACAAGTAGTAACAGTTGAAACAAGGGAGATGTAAAGCTGGATATGAGGAAGAACTTTCTAACAACGCATGTGTTTAAACACTGGGCCAGATCCCTTGGAGAGGCTGTGGAATCTGTCACTAGATGTTTTTCAGGGCAATTAGATCAGCCTGCGTATGGGATGGCTTAAATTGAAACAATTTCTGCTTTTAGCAGGTCCCTTCCCAGCCTGTTTTCCTATCATTCTTTTACAGACCCTTATTTTATTTCATTTAGTCCATCTCCTTTACAGAACCTTCAGGTTTTGACATTGTGGACTACTTCTTCCCCATATTCTGACCCTTTTTAAGCAAATCACCACATAAAGGGATAGTAACGTCTGGCTTTGTCAAACCACTGGTTCTTATTATGCATTTTCTGCTATTTTAAGAAGGCTTCAGAAGCTGGGCATTTTCCCTCATGAAGGTATTTTTCAATTATAAATCAAATCTCAGTCACCTTTTTGATAAACTAAAGATAACTCTGCATCTTGCATTGTAAGGCATTTCCCTTGAATCGTTTGGGTGCTTCTTTCTCTGCACCCACTCCAATTCTTTCAATGCTTTTTGTAAAAATGTAGGCTCCCAAAAACTATGAAGCATTCCAAAATCAGTCTCACAAACGCCAAACAGAGGTGAAATCACCAGTCTGATACTCCTCATTTGTATGCTGGTCTGCATTGTGCATCCAAAAATTTCTACAGGCTCACACAGCCTTGCTGTTAAATATATAAAAATTTAATTTGCATATATTAAGTGCATTGGAGACCTGCACTGGAGAGTAGACCCAGCTTACCAAGTGACTCACATGCTGAACTGGTTAGGTCTGGTCCTGATCTTACAGATGAACTTCACTAGAAACACCTCCATTCCTAGATAACCTTCCACAGACAATTATTTTTTGAGATCAGTCAGTTAGCCCATTCTTAACTCACTGAATGGGCTATTTACTTTTATTGGATATTATTAATTTTTAATTGAAATATTATGCAATAGTTTAAGTATATTAAAATCTGTGAAATCCCCTTCAAAAGCTAAGCTTTTAATCTCAAAGAATGATTACACCATTTTCCAGAACACTGCATTACTTGGCATTAATTATATTTCCATACTTTATCAGTCGAATCCTTTATCAGTTTTCCATTATTCTGCCTGCATTTGTTAGTTACCTTGGGATATCTTGTTGCCTTTTGTGAGTATTGATAAAACATTAGCACACATTTTAAATTTCATTGTGTAAATTCCACCTCCAGGAAGTGTGGGATTTGGAAGTTTCCTTTATAAAAAACAGAAATTGGAAACCTGATTTGCTTTTTGAAGTGCTGTATGATATCAACATCACCATGTGATGTCCTGTCAGACATTAACTAAAACTAGGGCATCTTGCTTGGTCTCTGGGACCAAGACAGAAATACAGGTCTGTAACTAAATGAAAACAGTACAACTGGGAATACTGAAACAGAAGAGTTGAGCCAATATTTTTATTCTGGATTTAGGAAAAAATTGGATGATTTAATTATATCAATGATGTGGATGAGCAAGAAGAAATGCTAAACTTGCTCCCTAGATACTGATGTGATAATAGGTACACCTTCAAATCTACCCAGCTGAATATAATGCATTTTTTTATAATACAGTACAATTAGCCATGGAGCTCCTTGAACAATTACTGATGTTGGTTATTTTTTAAAATAAAATCATGGAATTCTGGAGACATTTCAGAGGACTAAAACAGTGCTAAGATGGCATGAATGCTTATTTTCATCTGGGAGGGAGGAAGAGAAAAACAGTGGTGATTCTTAGTATGTGTCCCTGACTTAGGACTTGCCGAATATAATTTATGACCAACAAGAATCAGAAGACCCATTTTCTCAAATTAATGAATGAATATAGCAATCTATTTATATCCAGTAGGACTCAATGACATAATAGGAAAGTTAGATCCAAAAGAAAGAATCTGCCTTCTGGTATGAGATATTGCCATCCAATTCATTTTCTATAACCCAAATGCTTTCACAAAAGGATTAAAACAATTAAACAAAGAATTCACTTAGATTTCTTTTACGTTAGGGACTCGTGTATACTCACTTGTCACACAGATTTGGATCTGATGACTGACTTAATTTGTGTAGAATATCTACTATTCCCATATCTCGTAGTTTATCTTGGCGTTCCTGTGAACCTACAAAAAGAAATTGTTATTGGGAATGCCACCAAACAAGTAACTTATAGAGAATAAAAGAAGAGGAGGGCATTAATTTTTTTGGGGTGGGGGACTGGCTGTGGGTAGAAGTAAAATACTATGTTAATAAGCCCCTGAAGTCTCCTCATCTTTTGACTGATCTATAAGCAGTTTTTCAAACAGCTTCTCTTCTATAACGTTTTTATATCAAAAAGTGATAGAAAATTAAGCCGGTAAAAACCCTGAATGATTTAAAATGAAGAGGCTTGTCTTGTTTTCTCTCTTTCTAGCTCTGCTTTTGACGAACATTATGTTTACTCTGAAAACGGTTCCAGAATCAGCATCATAGATTGCAAGTGCTACAACACATGCTAACACAAGAAATCAGGGGGAATGCTAGGAGTTTCACAGGGCATCTCTGGGATCTAAAGCACCAAGAGGAAGTAACACAGTAAAGATTAAGCTGCAGAAACTGCTCTCGATATAGGTGGGAACAGTATACTAGGAAAACTGCAACCAGAGTCAAGCTCACCCGCCCCTTTGTTACTCTCCTCTCTCCCCATGTATGCTACGTACACCCATCTACAGGCATACTGTCTTCCTCCTACATTTCTTGCATTTGTCCCCATCCCTCATTCCTTCATGCATTTTCATGGGTTGCAACATCTTCCAGCTCCCTCCCACTTACCCTCCTCTCGTCCCAATCCTCTTTTCCCACAACCCTTCCTCAGTATTGGATGGCTCCACACTCCCTCCAGTTCAAACCTGTAAACCCCTGCACTGTTTGTAAGCCCTTGCTGGCTAAATCTCCAAGCCTCATTAAGAAACCTCCCCCTCCTCTGGTCACAGATAGAGAGCAGCCATGCCAAGATGACAATCCCAAACTTGCAAGCAGGCAAGTTCTGATGGTAGTTCAGGTAGTCAGTGGATGTGTGGCAGGGAGCAGGCTGCACTCTAATTAATGCAGTCCTCAAGAAAGAAGCAGTGGTACAGACTGGGGGCCAACTGGCTAAGCAGCAGCTCTGCAGAAAAGGACCTGGGGGTTACAACAGACAATATGCTGAATATGAGTCAGCAGTGTGCCTTTGTTGTCAAGAAAGCTAACGGCATACTGGGCTGCATTGGTAGGAGCATTACCACCAGATCAAGGCAGTAATCCCCTCTATTGGGCACTAATGAAACCACATTTGGAGTACTGTGTCAAGTTTTGGGCCCACCACTACAGAAAGGATGTGGAGAAATTGGAGAGTCCAGCAGAGGGTAACAAAAAATGGTTTGGGGGCTGGGGCACATGACTTACGAAAAGAGGCTATGGGAACTGGGCTTATTTAGTCTGGAGAAGAGAAGACTGAGAGGGGATTTAATAGCAGCCTTCAACTACCTGAAGGGTGGGTCCAAAGAGGATGGAGCTGGATTGTTCTCAGTGGTGGCAGATGACAGAGCAAGGAACAATGGGCTCAAGTTACAGCAAGGGAAATTTAAGTTAGATATTAGAATAAACTCTCTAAGCAGGTGAGTAGTAAAACACTGGCACAGGTTACCCAGAGATTGTGAAATCTTCATCTTTAGAGGTTTTTAAGACAAGGCAGACGAAGCCTGAGGTGGGATGATCCTGTTTGATCAGAGGGCTGGACTAGATGACCTCCTGAGGTCCCAATTATCTATGCTTCTGTGATCCAGGGCTAGGTTAATGCTAGAATTAAGGCACCCTAAGGAAGCTGCAGTTGAAAGATGTCTCAGAGTCATAGTCCTCAAGAAGCAGGGCTGGAAGGGACCTCCAGAGCTCATCTAGTCTAGCCCCCTGCTTGAGGCCTGCCTCAGGAGATCATCCCTATCCAAGCTATCCTATACAAACCATAATCTAAACTCTGCCTAAGACTACTCTTAACCCTAACACAACACAGACCTAACATCCTAACCTGCCACAGGTAAAAAGCAGCGCAACCACAGCAGCCAGCATCCAGCTACTATAAAACAGTGTCAATATATGTTCAAGAGGTCGCAGATAGAGAGCCAAGCCTCTCTGTTACAGAGGAAGGCCTTGCCCTTTCATGATACAGATGCATCTTCTGTCCCTCTCACAGGGAACTCCTAACACTGCGTTTAACGTCTATGTGCAGCCTCCTCTCAGGCACACTGCTCAGGATGACCTTACTTCATCATGTGGTTTTGCTGTTCCACTTTACAGCAAAAAATTCTAAATCTCTTTCTGCCAATTTGTTTTCCATTGGTCCATTCCTCCATATCTTCTGGTTTTGCCAACACTTCCTTGAATCCAGGTTGGCAACTTAATCACAGACAAAACCAAACTCTGCATTTTACTCCCACTGAGTCCAGCATCTCCCCACATTCCCATCCTCTGACTATACTTCATCTTGTTCCACAACTGGCTTCATACTAACTTTTCACCTAGCTCTTATTCATTCATGGAGTACCTTAAACTAGGGCTGTCCAACTTCTGAGCAGCTGGAGGCTTTAGGCCCCCTGACCACACACCACACTACATGCCATGCTGCACCCTCTCCGCTGCACTGTGGGTACCCCACCCCACTATACCATGCCAGCACCCCAAGCTGTGCCACAGGGGGTTCCTGGGTCCCCAAGACTCACACAGCTGCAAGCTCCCTTGGCCCCTCCTCCAGGGATGGGGTGAGGCAGTGGAAGCCAAAGAAGGGAGAGGGAATCTGGAGACTCCAGTGGCAGCAGCTGCTGGAGTAGCAAGGGGAGCAGTGCCTGGACTGTAGTAGGTGCCAGAGCAGTAGGGAGAGCTGGCTGTACTGGGAGTCCGGGGGCCACAGGTTAACTTGTTGGACTACCCTGCCTTAAATAATAAGGCCATGGATGGCACCGATTCATCAAAACCCCTCCTCAAAATTTGATTTGTGCTATAACACATACAAAAACCAGGCACCCAGCGATGACTGAATTATGCTTCATTTGGTGACAGCTGTATTTATTTAGAAAAAACAGACCCATCACCTTCAGGAATCACTGATGGTAGGGCTATCAGCTGGGATCACACTCTCCAAGTTCCCTCTTTCTAGCATGCCCTTGCTCTCTCTTTTTTTCTGTCATATTCACTAGTTCCATTTTACACCTAAATCAATTGTTCTCATTCTTTTTAAACTGAAGGCACCCTTCAGAAAATGCCAACTCTTAAAAGCCTGCACTAATGTTTTGACTACAGAAAATTACTCTGATGCAACGAACTTGCAAAGATGGAAACAGGTCAGAACAGTTTTGGAGCTATGGATTCCCATTTCAAATCTATGGATTTATCTTGTGACTCACGTATAGGTGTTTTCACACCTAACAGTGCTAACATGTTACCAACCTTGAACAGATGCCATGGCATTGTGGTTGACCATCAGTTCTCTGAAGTGTGGACTCCACCTCACTCTGTATCTTTACAGTGTATAGCACAATGGAACCCAATCTCAACTATTACATAACATTTGTGTTTGATAATAGTGCTGTTCCCCAGACAATGCGTGTAAATGTGATGGTTTCTCTTACCTTCTTCTTCATTCCAGACGAGGTTAGATATGCAAAACATGGCAGCAAGCTGAAGTTTAGCATTTGAATGACTCTAAATATAAAGACAGAATTTTTGGAGTTTCAGAAGCTAAATTTCACAGAACATTTCTGCTTTCCATTTTTGGCTTTCGTCCTTTAATGAATAAGGTAATAAATCAAGGGCATTTCCTTGACTGTGATCTGAACCAAAGACACTATCATAACCAAGGGCTGCCAAATACAGTGTTCACTGAACCCCCACCTGAACAAGGAGCATCTATTAAATACCCTGTTCCTGTGTAGCTAAGATTCTGAAGACCTTCATATCACATTACTTGGATTTGTTAGACTCATACCTTAATACAACTGTAAAATTGCTTGGGGAAGTTAATTCTTGGAGTCTCCTCCTCTGAATTTGGCTTGTAAGCATTACCACAATTTTTGTACTGAACTAACCCAGGTGCTCTCTCTGCACATCAATAAAAAGTATGATACTGAGAACTAATATTTTATATCTTTAAAACATGCCAGCATATTGTACTCTCCATTACTACAAAGAACAGAACGCAAACCCTTTAAAGAAATTTCACATACCATATAATACTTTATTTTCTGCAAGATGTCATCGTTGGTCATAATGAGTTCTTTTGCTGTTGTTCCATCTGCTATGTTGGCAAGGATACATAATGTCTGCAAAAGAGAGAGTGCAATCTGTAGGCAAACAACAATTATGAATCAAAGCTTTCCCAACAGATTCAATCATTGTACAGTGAATGTTTCTTCAATCAGAACCCAGATTTTCTACCTAATTTAGACAGAGGGCCAAGGGCTCTCCTGGCACAATACCACTAGCTTGCCTAAGCTGTTCTAAAGTCATTGTGATTTTAAAATAAAAAGCAAGACAAACTCATTTCAACCTTGAAGGGCTGAAGTGTTGTAGCCACAATGGTCTAAGGCATACGCAGGCTTTTGGTGATATCTTTTAATGGACTAACTGTATAGTTGGGAGAGATGTTAAACAAGCTGTAAGGCTGGAATTTTCTTGTGCAGAGAAGTAGTGCTCATTGTATCAAGGATAAAAGCACTGGAAAATAAAGTCTCCAGTTAGTTTTTCTTTCTGCGCTATCTGAAACTAGAAACTATAGTCCTCTGGTTCCACTCCTTGTCTGGAAGGTGTGGGGAGAGGGGCTATTTTGCACAGTACACAATCTACTGTTCTGATCTAACCTATCTTAAGTGGCCCAAGTGACAGTCACCCAATCTAATCATGTTTTCACTGAAGTGAACTCAAGTGATCTACCCCAGCGTTACTCCTTTTGAGTTAGACTAGCTCAAATGAGAGCAGCCACACTGCAAAACTAGACTAGAGCTGCTGCGTCCACATGCTCACTCATATAGCGCCACAGCTTCTGGAAGCACAGCCCGCAGTTCTCAGTACCACAGTACAAGGAGCTGCTTTATGAATCCCTTCCTAGGGAATGCTGAGAAAACCTGCCTGCCCCTGCAGGGGTGAGTGTGGGAAGGCATGGGAGGACTAGCGACACTCAAACAGACACTGCTCACATTCAGACTGCAGAGTGATCACATGGTAGCCTGAGCTGACATGAATGAAGGGCACAATCATACTGGAGGTGCATGAGGGTGGATGGGACACTAGTAGGGGGCAACATTAGAGTTCATAAGTTAGTGTGGCGTGGCAACAAGCTGAGGTGCTGAACTTTCTGTGGGAGAATGTGTACAGGATGAGTATGCTCAGCATGGCTGAGGAGCCAGCCCTTAAAACGTATATCACACGTGCTCCTCACTAACCCTTTCATGTAGTGCTAACTTAGCTAGCCACTTCTCTCCCATCATCACCACCAGACATTTCTGCTATGGACAAATGCAAATTTTAGCCATTTTAAAAGGCAAAACAGACTTGCTATTCAGGAATGCACATCAACTTTTATGATGCAACAGTTACATCTACATGCTTCCATAGCAATCAAAGTGCTAAAAATCAATGCAACTCGAACCCTAAATGAAACAGCCTTGTACTCTTTCCCACCTTCCTAACATGTCTCTTCTCCTGCTAGCTCCCCTTCCTTTGCCTCTCCCCTCCAGTGACCCTTGTCTCCAGCCTCCCATTAGAAACAGACTTTTTGACCTTATCACAAAGTCTTTTCATAACAGAATGGTTTTCTGTACTGATGCCAACTACCAACACAGCAGCAGAGGCTGGTAGATTTCTTGGTGCTGCTCTCATTGGCTGATCTCGAGCTGTAGTGGAAATAACAACCCAACAGACTGCCCGTGTGTGATGTTATTTCCCCATGCACAATGTTATCTCTCTTCCCAACAGCCATCTTCCCCCACTCCTAGCCTTATGCAGCAGGGAACGATGATCCCTTTACACAGTTCTCATTTCTGCCATCTCTGTAGCCTATTCACCACTGGACTTTAAAACAGTTTTGGACTTGATTCAAGTTCAACATTCCTACAATAGCCAAAGGCATACTAAATCTAAACTCCCAACAGTGAAGAGAAATGGACATTCTGACAGTTAGCATAACTCAACTATTATTCTCATAGAATTTAAGTTGACCAACATCATGGTGACCAACATCATTCAAGGCCAGTTACTGACAACCCCAGTAATAATTCCGTGAGGAGTGCTGACATTTTAAACATGTGGTCATCAATCCTTGGCTTACTGACAGCATGATGCCTGCAAGACCCACAGATACTGCTTTCCACCACAGGAAAACAAAGGCTTAAAGCTGAGGTTGGCATGGAAAGAAAGGTCTGAGATTGCCCATAGCACATGATTTGCATAGTATTGTTGCCCTGGGGCCAGTCAAAGTTTGTGCACTGTCTTAAACCATTCCTTACACTTTTATTTTGCTAAAAACAATACAGAAAACAGTGAAAAGTACCTGTTCCTTGACTTCTATATTGTGCTCCCCTTCCAGAATGAGGGTAACTGCTTGCATGATCTGCTTTCCATGAGTGCTCATTATATGGTCTATGTGCTGCCAAAGCAATTATTAACACAATTAGCATTACTTTTCCAGAGGAATGAAAGAGATGAAAATAGGGAGAGTCCTGGTGTAAACATTATTATTACAAGCATCAGTATTTTTAGAAGCACTTATCTTTGCGCAAAGTAAAAGAATCTATCATGGCAGAAAACACTCGTTATATTCTTGTTTGTCACCTTTAGCCTATAATTTGTCACAGGGAACTGAATAAGGAACTCTCTCTTTCAGCTTAATCCCACTGAATACAGATACTGACTTTCTTAGTATCATGTAGGGCTTCATCTTAAGACTGAAGAGCTTACACATCCTGCAGAAGATGGGCTTACACTCTGATGTTGCAGCTAAACAGCCACCACACACATAAACAGGGAAATATCAAGCAGAAGCAGGCAGGTGATATTTCCTCTCTATGTGGAATTTGTGATACTTACAGAATGAATGTGCAATTCTGCTGTCCACTTTTCCAAAAGGATATGAGAGTACAGAGAAACTAATTTATGATCTGGAAAACCTGCCTCCATGACAGACTTAAGAAGCTCAACCAATTTAGTTTATCAAGGAGATGACTTGATTATGTTATCCCCATCCCCAAAAGCCATATTGGAGTACATGTACATGGAGACAACTCCTACAAATCATCTCCAGCTGGATATGGAGAAGTCTCTCTCTTTTCTAGATTTGCACTATTATTTGCTCTTTACCTCCACATTCATGCATTTGTGTTTTACTCCTGGATTACCATGTGAAGGAGCTTTCATTATTTTCAAACAGACATATTCAACAATTAATTTAAAAGGGAAGCAAGTTACTTTCTAAAGTGACATGTCAGTCCTACACAATCATTGGGAAGAATAATAAGCACTGAGGATTTGCAATGTATAACCTACAACTGCTGGGCCAGGTTTAAAAAAAAATACATTTCCAGAGTATCCATGATCTTACTTACTGGACGAGTAGACAGAAGATTTCTGAGCAGTCCCAAAGTTTTCATTAGCACATTTACATCTGAATCGGAGAGTAACTGAAATAGCTGTTCTGTACTCAAACCTCGTAAGATGTCTGACTTGATCTTCTGTTCTGCCTGAAATGCCATATTCTGAAGGATGTGAAAATGCAGGAAAGGGTCAACTGATTTGTGTTTCCAAGTTTGGTATTCATTCAGTCTATAGAAAGATTACCATGTGCAATGTAGTCATCTGTGATAAAGTAACCCTGGGCACTTTGCAACTACAGTTTGATGGCATTTCTGGGGGATGAATAAAGTTCCCCACACATCCTCAGCAAAGTCCAGGGATCACCCCATTTTTCCTCTTTTAAAATATCCTTCCATGCATCTGCCCAATGTGTTTGCATTCTAGTTTTACCTTTGAACCAGTCAGCCATCATGCTTAATAGGCCAATGTAGACAGGTAGATGGGTCAAGATCTTTTCATACTTTGCGTCCTTACTTAATTAAACCCATTTTATGTAATTTCATGATTTTAGGCTTTAGTTATTAGTTGTTGAAAGTCACCATACTATCAAGCTCATACAACAGTTGGTTATGGGCACTGCTATGGTTGGGGTAGGGTACAGTCTTAAGGTTTTGAGATATCATTTGAGAAGTCTGTTTTTGTTTTATATCTTGTGGGTTTTCTTGTAAGCCAACCTGAGCCTTCTTTGATAGAGTGGCACATATATCTAATAAATACTGTTGAGCACATGCACAAATATAATGTGTCAACAAGTGCATTTCTGACAGCTGGTTTTTAAAATACTGTCAGGGATCAAAGAGTATTTTCTTGTATATCCACCACACAGGTGGGACACTGCTTTTAGTAACCAGTGCAATACTTATGATGACAAGAGCAAATCATGATCATCAAGAATAGGTTAGACACCAGGGGTGTTCTACCTGTTGGCCCCTCAGGCCAGATAAAAGGCACAGGGCTGGCCCATGGGGCTAGATCAAACACCACACATCAGAAGCGTGCTCCAGGGGCCTCTATCCTGCCTCCACCCAGTCCTGAGTAAAGGAATTGGGCTCCGAGAGCCCAGCACCACCTCTACCCAGTCCCATGTGCAGGAATTGGGCTCCAGGACCCCTGCACCACCTCTGCCTAGCCCCATGCACTAGGAACAGGCCCCATGGGTTGGATGACATGGCACCAGGGGCCAGATCTGGCCTGCAGGCTGGGGGTTTAGCACCCTCGAGTTGGACAGACACTCAATGGGATGGTTTAACCAGGGATGATCCTGCCTTGAACAGGAGGTTGGACTAGAAGATGACCTCAAGTCCCTTCCTGCCTTACTTCTCTATGATTTTATGTAAAGTTGAGAATCTCCTTTCCTTGAAGAGAGAGTTTTTAAACTATATTTCATCACGTAAACACTTACCATTAAAGCCCAAATGCCATTCACACGCAAGGCAAGGTTTTCACTCTGAGTTAAACTACACAAAAGTTCTACAGCTCCCGATTCTAATATAGGCTGTAACAAACAGGAGAAAAACAGAACTTTAAAATATTGCTTGGGAATTAGTAGACTTTCTTGTAAATAAATTGTGTGCCAAAAATGGTACTGTTAATGTGTGCGTTTACCTTCTGTGGGCAACCTGCGTTTATAAAGTGCTTAAATTCTCTAGGCTACAATTGGAAAGATGCCTGAAGGCCTTAGGTATCTATATCCCATTATGTTTCCATGGAAGTTAGAATTCTAGTTCCCCAAGACTCCTTTGAAAAGCTCAGCTCTAAGCCACATCATTATTTAAATATATGGCTTACTGGAGAACTGCAGACATAACTGAAATGAAATTTGTAGAAGCAAACACCCTTAAGACAACATTATCTTTGACTGCTATCTGCTTTTAACAGAAAACCACCTTCATTAAGCAACTGATTTTGTTTGCTAATGAGGCTAACTTAAAATGTCTTGCAAAAGAGCACCAGGAAACTAAATCACAATTTAAAAAGAAAACCCTAATCTTCTGCACTAATAAGCAAATAAACAAATAAAGAATAAACGCCTTTCCCATAGCAGTATTTCAACATGTCTCTTGATATAGAAAACGGGTATTCATTTCACTGAGCTGCTAGAACTGGTTTTACCAGAAAATACTTTTCTGTTTGTCCCACTTAATGTACGTTCCATAGGAACGTGTCCATTTCAGCAAAATTCTGACAGACACCAGGGAGGAGCTGGAGTCCGAGTTCTCAGGTCTCTAGCTCTGGGGCAGCCCTTAGAAAGGCTGCTGAAGAACTGGGCCTCTTGGAGGAGCTGGGTGGCTGATTTTGCATCTGTGAAGGTCCCAGGGTAGCTCTGATAAGGGGCCATTGTGAGAGAAATCCTGCAATAGTTTTCTATTCAGCCATGGAGTTTAAAAAAAAAAAAAAGCAAAACCAAGGAAGGGGGCTGTTATTCCAAAGATCCTGTTCAAGCTTCATTCTGGTAAATACACAAAGGTAACACTTGTTACTCATTTTCCAGATTTTAATGCATGTGAGAGATGCTGAGAGTCCCAGATACTAATGCTATCTAGTTTATCCCTAGAGAACACATGGCATAAGGAAAAAGAGAGACATTTATACTGCATTTATTTGAATCTAAATCAACCCTGAACTTAAGATGACTGCAATAATTAGATTCTATATGGGGAAAAATTAAAAATTTGTTATAAGTTTCAAGGTATGGAATATAAGTGTTGGAGAGTTTTGTCTTAAATTTGTCCTCCTCCCATTGCTACAGCAGGAAAAATGGTGGCTGGGGGGAGAGGGGGGGAAAATCAGGTGGCTAGGAGGAGTCAGCTATCTCCCTTGCCCCATGCCCCCAACATATTGCAGCCTTCCTGCCTGCCCCGTACCCATTCACCCCTAGCTCCCCTTAGCCTTTGTCCTCCACATAGGACAGTTTCCATGTGCTCTATGCCGGGGAGGGAATCCAGGCCCAGCTGGAGCTGAGCAGCACTTGTTAGTAAGGCAAGGAGAAGGAGAAGCTGCCGAGGACAAGTGGAGGTGGGGTAGGAGGCTGCTGTGGGCCTGACTCTGGCCCCAACCCAGGTTCAGGGCCAGAGAGTCAGACCCACAGTAGCCGCCTGCCTCCCCTCTGCTTTGTATGCACATCTAAGATGAGGGGCTTCCCCCCATGCTGACTGGGGGAAACAACCTTGTCTTAGATTTGAGTAAAGACAATATATCAACACTGAGTGCTAAAAGAAGAGTTGGTCAGTGTTATGTAGCATAACAAGATCAAACTAAATTAGAACAGGGGACTTTGTCCTATGCACATAAGTTGCATCATTGAGGAATGGGACTTTTTAACAGGTGGATTATAAGTGATGAAAATTCTACCACATATCAATATCTGTAAAATATTACAGTTGTAATAAAGTACTGACGAAGAGCCTCCTTTGCTTATTCAAAAGGCATCATTGTAAAGTGCCCATCTATTAATGGACCACTGAAGAGGGGAAAGGCAAATACCAACCTCTTTGCTTGGGGAGAATTCTAGGAGGAGATTGCATAGCGTGGAAGATGCTACTACCAGGATTTCATCTGGAGCATTCTGTAAGACCTAAAAGCAAGAAGAGGGAAGTGAAGTCATTTGTTGTGGACAAGGAGCAGATCATTTTGAAACAAAGCGAAGGCTTTTCTTAGCAAGAAACATCAGTGGTACCGCAATTCCCCATACTACAGGGAAAGGATATAGAGCCATGCTGCATAGGGAGATCCTCCTGTGTTGCAACCTGCCCCTGTGCTGCGCATCTGGGAAGAGAACGGAAGCTGAAAACAAGGCTCCCCATCCCCCCAACCCTACATCCCAGTTTTTGTAGTCTGGGCCAAGGCAGAACGTAACAGCTGTCCCTGTGAGCTAAGAGCTTAGCAAGGCATGCATTCTCCCTTTTAAATAGTCAGCACATCACTAGAGACCAATCAATGCCATTATCCATAAGCACTAAGCAACTCAGGAGAGAACAAGCCTTTGGGGGAACAAGTTCTACCCCAGCATGGTGGTAGTCTGGAACTGGCTCTACCCACAGCCATGTGCAAGCTGAAGGCATCTGATCATGTGAGATCATGACTATGACAATCGGCCTAATGCTTAAACCACCAAGCTTTTATAGTCACTGTTATAACAGGAAAACAAATTGCCTTCTTCCTGGACGTGTGAAAAAAAAACAACGGTTTTTAATTAGAATTTGGGTTGTCATCTGTTATGCTTCATAGATGTGGGAATACCAAATTTTCTTGCATACAAAACACCCTAGAATACAATATGCAACTTGTTTTTGAAAGGCAGAATGAAGGAAAGATTTTTCCAGAGTTATGGCTGCATACAGCAGAAACAAAGCTCAATCTTCAGCGGACTGAGCTATCTAATAGATTAGATATCAAGAAAAACTCTCTCACCAGGAAGGTAGCAAAGTACTGGAACAGATTACCCAGAGAGGCTGTGGAATATCCATCCTTGGAGGTTTTAAAGACCTGGCTAAACAAACCCTGGCTGGAATGATCTAGTTGGAGATGGTCCTGCTTTGAGCAAGGGGTTGAACTAGATGACCTCCTGAGGTCCCTTCCAACCCCCATTTTCTAAGATTCTATGACTCACCCTCCCTTTCCTGATGAACTAAAGCTGAAAGCCTAGCTGCTTCTGAAAACTAGTTTCCATGAGTGGATCTATGATTCTGAAAACAGTTAAAGAGTCTCCAAGGTTGTAAAATAGGATGAGAGACCAGAAGCAGCTACCAGACAGCAAAATTGCCCTAAGAAGGTTAGCTAGATTAATGGAATATCAAGGCCATTAAAAAGCAGAGACAATCATTAACACCTCTGGAGTAAAGAACAATGAGCCATGAAGTCAACTGACTCCCTGAGCTGCCTAAATAGTATTGCCATGGTTGCTGTGCTGTGTAGCAGGAATCAAAGCATGGTACTTCTAGCGAGACAGAAAATCAGCTTCCCCACTTAATATATGCAACCCCAATTTTGGTCGTCTGATTCTGGGGGAAAAAGTTGTGTATTGTATGCAAGAAAATATGGTAAATCAGACCCACTACTTAAGGAAGAAAAGGGTAATAGTAAGGTCAATTGACCAGTCCTCTATCATGGTGCTTAATACTACAAAATGGTCTCTTCTGCATGGTTGAGAGAGAGGAAAACAAAGCAAGCTTCCCTTCCCTTGTTACTCTCTAGATAATTCATTCTTCTCAGCCCCTCATGCTTCATAGGAACAGAAAACAGCTTTAAATCCCACTCCCAACACAACAATAACATCCACTCACTGTCAGTTTGTTTATATGTTCACTTAAGTTATTTCAATAAAATGGATTCTGGCAGGGCCTGAAGGAGTGGAGAATTTCTAACCCTAGTAACTGCCAAAGGAAAAAAAAAAATCTATTTTCTCAACCTGAGTCCCCTGTCCCATTCATCCCCACCCCACCCCCAGCCTCCCATCTTGGCTGCCCAGCAGCTCAGGTTCAAGGGGAGCATGAGACAGTGCTTGAGATAATGCTCAACCTGTTGCCTGGTGGCTACAGAACTGTGCTGAGAAGCAGGCAGATTTAAACACACTTATAGGTGAGGGTGCCCATGTCCTCCTATCTGGGCAAGTGCCCTAATCATTAGCCTACTGGACTAAAACATAGGAGGGCCATTTTCCTCCTCCCTGTCCTTACCAGGTGAATCTAGTTCACCATGGACTGAAACCAAATCCAAAACTATGCCAAAGACTGCAGTTCCACAGCTACATTATCTGCCATTGTGGCTGTAGAATTAAATAGGATTATGCCTCAATCCTTCAGCACCACTTAGTGGTATCAGTAAACTGCAGCACATGTGACAATGAAATCCTTGCTAATTTTCCTTCCTTCAGATTTCTCTTAGGTTTGAGTAACTTGATTTTAAAATAGATCATGAGTCTTGCTTCTGCTCTCCTAACACAAGATGGGTTTCTAGGTGCTGGAAGGCAGTTGCTATGGAAAGCCATGTGTAAAGGTAGAACAGAGCTGTACTGTTCCTAGAAAAACAGAGACAGATCAGGTCTCAAGAGAAAAAGGAAAGCTCCATGCCCATCATAGCCCTGCTTCTTCCCTTCTCCCTTTCAGCATCCTGTTCCCTAGGGGAACACTGTCATGGGAATATAGGGCCAATACCACCTGCCTGTAGCTACAGCCACAATATGAGGGGGGAAAAAAAGATGAATTATAACTTCCTACTATCCTAGATCATGGGAAAAAGAAGTCTGGAAGGGACCTCAGCAGGTCATCCAATACAGACTCCTAGACAAGACTGGCTCATCCCTGACTAAACCATCCCAGACAATGTATAACTTGTATATATGCATCTGTATAACTTGCTGTTGCAAGTTTCCTGGGATGTAGATTCACGGTCTCTCTAGGTAGGCTATTCCAATGCTTGACCAACCTTTACCAGTGAGGAAGTTCTTCCTCAGCTCCAACTTAGGTTTCCTCTGCTACAGCTTGAGGCTATTACTCCTTTTCCTGTCCCCTGCAGCCACAGAGAATAGTCTATCTCCATCCTCTTTATAATTGTCCTACAGGTATTTACTGTTATCAAATTGCGCCCCCCCGCAATCTTCTCTTCTCCAGACTAAATGATTCAAGCTCTTTCAGTCCTTCCTCATAAGTCATATTTTCTAGGCCTTCAATTATTTTTATTCTTTTCTGCTGGACTCTTTCTAATCTGTCCATATCTTTCTTGAAGTCTGGGGCCCAGAACTGGATGCAGTACTCCAGATGAGGCCACACCAGGTCCTAATAGCCAAGTCAGGGCTATGGACTTGGTGCTACTGCTGTATTTTGTAATGAACTGTAATCACTGCAGAAAAGAAAAACTGTAGCCTATGACACTGGGCACTATTTTTGGCTGTTTGCTGATTTGTCAGGTTCAAAAAGTCACACATTCTGAATTTTGAGTTTCTATTAAATCCCTAATAAAAACACTGAACTGAAGATAAGATCTCATTTCTATCAAATGCAACACTCCCAGTGTTTGATTCTCGTTTTTTTCTCCATTTCATACCTTCATTAAGGGTTTCCATACAGCATGATCCTGGAAACTTGTTCGGAGCTGCTGCACAGACCGTGACAGACTGTGCAAACATCTTTAAAAAAAAATAACACAAAAACCCAGCCTTTAAAATATGGACTTTGTTTCTTTTCATACAGCTGTAACTTCAAATGTGACAATACAATGCAAATATTGAAAGAGACACATCCTGCAACGTCAGGACATGTATTTTAACACATTTTCAGAAAACAGAAAAGTTCTTTAACTTAATTTTAGCATGTGAAGTATGAACACAATTTCTAGGCAACAAAGTGCAAAAATGAAAGCAGAGTTAAGCACAGTTAAAATGATTTATTCAGACAGAAAAGGGCTCTCACCTGACTGCAGCTAATCGCACCTTGATGCTAGACTCAGACAAGCCATTCACAATTCGGTCCATCATATTTTCTGTCTCAATGATCTGGAGAAAGAGGTTAATGACGCCTGAACAATATGGCACAGACAATTCTTTAAATGTTTGTTAATGTCCATGATTTATTTTGCTTGTTCTGCAACATTCTAAATACAGCATATGAAAAGGGAGTAAACAACCAACAAAAGCAATACCACTTACCTTAATGACCACAGCCCATATACATTTCCCTTATGAAACCACTGAACTTATTTATTCAACAGCACCTCTCTCTTTACTCAACTGTAGTATACTAAATGTTGCATTGAATATCAGACAAAATGGTCAAAATGCTTAATGTATTATTAGGGCACTCGTTATTTTGAAACCATGCAGAAGAAGTGCACATCACGGCCAAGATGTAAACCTAGAACTGGAAGGCTACACAGTGTAATGGGAATTTGGCCTTTATTTAGGAAATGAATTTCAAAATTGATGCTCTTGTCACCAAGTGGGACATATGCTGGTTTAGAATCAGTACTACCATACCACCATGAATAAGTGTTTTCCCCTTTAAAGGTTAGGCTGCCTGCAGGGTAACAACTCACTACTGTTACCAGCAAGTAAAGGTATTCCTTTAGCTCAAGAGGGAGCGTGCTTTTTGGCACTAAAGATCCTAAGACCTGCCCTGCTGATGTTTTCCAGTTTTCTTCCTTTCACAACACCCTTCCTGTTTGTGCCAGTGGTTCTCAACTATAAATTCATATTTGAAATGGAGTGACATGTTATTGAGGGTGCCTTGACCATAAAATGTTTGGGAACCACTAATATATGCCCTCCATCATAGCGAGAGGTATGGCATACCTCAACATCCTTCCCTCTCCATGAAGAAAATGCTGAGCACTGCAATCTTCCCCCTATTCTGTTCTCTCTCTATCCACTAATTAGAAAAGCAGGGTGGTGCTGCAGGCTTTTTGGTCAAATTTTCATACAAATCAATGCAATACTAATCATCTCGGGACCTGAGGATGGGACCAAGGCAATGATCTCAAATGAAACTTTTTATGAGGAAAGCCTTGGCCACTACACATTTACAATTAACTAGCAGACCTTCTGTTTCAACTTTATTCCACAAAAATATATCTGATATGCTTGACCATGTCAAAGCAAGCAAAGAAGCCCTTCAGGTTGCCTTCCTGAAGTAAAGCACCCAGGAATATCATGTAATAAACAAAAGAAGCTGCCCTACAACCAATGCCTTAAGCACATCCAGCAGATAAGATAAAACAATCCATCCCTCCATAGTTTGCAAAACTGCAGTCTTTCAGGACAGGATCTCAGATCTCTCAAAGCAACAGAAGTTGCACAACATTGGGAAGCATGATGTCGCCAACAGGAAAAGCAGACAAGGATGGTTAAGAAACTTTTCCAAAGTCATATACCAATTGTTTGGCAAAACCACAATACAAACCACAGGACTGTGTTTCCTCAGTCTGAATATTCTGAATTCCTTTCATTTTGATGCATTTAATATAACAGAAACCACCACTGGTTTTCTAGGAAGCAAACTGGTCAGAAAAGTAAAAATAAAGGGTAATTATTTTAATTATACTTCACAGTAATCTCTCCATTTGCAAAGCAGCACACCATCTGGGTACTTGCATGATGACAACTACTGCAATAACCGAGCCTCTCTCAAAAAATAATGAATGTATCCTGCCATGTGGGGAATTATTATTCCTATCTTGCAGATAGGAAACTGAATTGCTGGAACTAATTCACCCAAGATCATGAAGTAGCAGGTGCAAGAAATGGGAAATATCCCAAATCCCAGTGCAGTGCCAAAACTAAATGACCAGCTGTCCTCACCCAAAGAAATGCAGTTATAAAAATAAACTAGTCAAAGCTTGAATGCTTTAAAACAAATGTTATGAAATCTTGGAATCATATAAAAACAGGGCTGGAAGAGACTTCCAGGGGTCATCTAGTCCAACCCCCTCCTCAAGGCAGAATCATCCCTATCCAAACCATCCCATTCCTAAAATTACACACGTTTACTCTGTTGCACAAATACAAGCCATATCGCTGATGCACCAAAAGCACCTAAACCTACCACAGCAGAAGGACAATGGCATTCAGAGCCCAGCTGCAAGGGTTGTTAAAATGCACTTGAGAGATCCTAGGAAAAGGGCCACACCCCCCACTGCAGAGGAAGAAAAAAAACCCCACAAACTGTGCCAATCTGACCATAAGGTAAAATTCCTCCCTGCCCCTAAATGTGGCGATTGGTCTGAGGGCAAGATACTTTAACAAGGAACCTCCAGGCTTTAATCCCAGCAAATGCTCTAGCATGCTCCAGTCAAAATCCCCAGACTTAGATGCAGCCAACACTGAATGCCTCTGAGGAAAATGGAAAATTTTTTCCACCCTTACACCTGTAGCAACAGGAGGAGGAAATTTTTTTCCCAGCCCCATGTGGCAACCAAAGCCAAGAAACATGGACAAATCTAAACACCCTTCATTCTGCTCTGCAACCTGGCAACAGCAACTCCACACAGCACAAACTCTAAATGGACAGCCAGAACTCCCCTTTCTGCATCCCCTTCATAAACTTGTCCCACTTCCTTTAATCCTCTTTCATAGCTAAACCAGTTGGGGAGCTCTGCTTCATTCTCCTGCTGCCGAGTCCTCCTTTCCAACATCCAGAGCTCTTCTCCTTTAGCAAGGTTTTTGATGCCATCTCCCACAGCATTCTTACAAGCAAGCTGGGAAAGTATGGGTTGGATGAATGGACTGGAAAGTGGATAGAAAGCTGGCTGGATTTTTGGGCTCCATGGGTAGTAATCAATGACTCAGTGTCTAGCTGGCAGGCAGTATCAAGTGGAGTTCCCTGGGGCTCAGTCCTGGGGCTGGTTTTGTTCAACATATTCATTAATGATGTGGAAGATGTGCTGGAGTGCACCCTCAGCAAGTTTGCAATGACACCAAGCTGGGGAATATAGTAGATGCATTGGAGGATAGGGCTAGGATTCAGAGTGACCTAGACAAATTGGAGGATTGGGCCAAAAGGAATCTCATGAGGTTCAACAAGGACAAGTGCAAAGTCCTGCACTTAAGATGGAAGAAACCCATGCACAGTTACAGCCTGGTGACCAACTGGCTAAGCAGCTGCTCTTCAGAAAAGGACCAGGAGGTTACTATGGACAATAAGCTGAATATGAGCCAGCAATGTGTCCTTGTTGCCAAGAAGGCTAACAGCATCCTGGGCTGCATCAATAGGAGTGTTGACAGCAGATCAAGGGAAATAATTATTCTGCCCTATTTGGCACTGGAGAAGCCACACCTGGAGTACAGTGTCCAGTTTTGGGGCCCTCCACTAGGATGTGGACAAATTGGAGAGAGTTCAGCAGAGAGCAGTGAAAATGGTTTGGGGGCTGGGAGACCTGACTTCTGAGAACAGGCTGAGGGAACTGGGCTTATTCAGTCAGCAGAAGAGAAGACTGAGGTGGGATTTAATAGCAGCCTTCAACTACCTGAAGGGTGGGATTTGGCAGCAGCCACCTGACAGGTGGTTCTAAAGCGGATGGAACTGGACTGTTCTCAGTGGTGGCAGATGACAAAACAAGGAGCAATAGGCTCAACTTGTAGCAAGGGAAGTTTAGGTTAGATATCATGAAAACACTCTCTCACTATGAGTGGTGAAGCCCTGGAAGAGATTACCTAGAGAGGTTGGTGGTATCTCCATCCTTGGAGATTTTTAAGGTCCAGCTTGACAAAGCCCTTGCCCAACTGGGGATGGTCCTGCTTTGAGCAGGGGTTGAACTAGATGTGACCTCCTGAGGTCCCTTCCAACCTTCATTTTCTTTGATTATCTCCCAGAACGGAGAGGGGAGGGGGCTCTTCCGGGCTTCTAAACTGTTGCTCTTTACAAAGTACTCCAGGCATACCTTGGCCTATATCATCCCCAGCCAGTGGCTTTCCAACCTCCTCTTGCATATCTCCAGTGATGGAGAATCTACAACTTCCCTAGAGGCAGCATATTTCACTGCCTCACTGTTCTAACAGTGAAGACGTTCTTCTAGACATTTAGTCTAATCCTATCCTGCTGCAACTGCATGTTACTGGTCCACATCATACTCTCTGCAGCAATGGGCAGGGAGGCAGAAAGGTGTTCTTCCTCTTTGTTATGGCAACCCTTCAAGTATTTGAAGATGGCTATCATGTCCCCTCTTAATCGGTTTTTCCACAAGCTGAACACGCCTATTTCATTCAACCTCTCTTCATACAATTTGGGTCCCAAACCATTTAATCATTTTTGTCACCCGCCTCTGGACCCCCTCTAATTTCTCCATGTCCTCTTTAAAGCATGAAGCTCAAACTTTGCACAATACTCTAGATGAGGACTAATTAATGCCAAGTAGAGGCATTATCACCTCCTGTATCTTGCACCTATTGATATAGCCCAAAACTGCATTTCCCTTTTGTGCGGCCATATAACATTGCAGACTTGCACTGAGTTTGTGATTCACCAAAGCGCCCAGGTTCTTCTCCATAGTACTGTCCTCCAGTCAGTTGTTACCGATATTGCGTTTCACATATTATTGCTTGCTTCAATAAATTCACTGTAGAACTATAGTAGATTTCATTGTTTGTATCTTCCAAAGTTATTATGAAATGGTTAGAAGTTCGATTAAAAAAAAAGATATTAGAATACTCGATTTCGCAAGAATGAAACCCTGCACAAATAGTATGAAAGTAGTTGTGAATTCCACTACAATGCGTTTCTTTAAACTAGAATTACAGCATGTGGCAAAGATTTTTAAACACATTTCTAACATGATGCAAGCTTTGTAAAGCCTGCCAACCTACTGTAATCCATGCAAGAGCTAAGCACTAAAATGGGTCTGAATTCAGAGAACTCCTTCAAAATACATTCTTTTATGCTACAAAAACTCTTCGCCAGTACAGTATAGAAGACATTTACTATTCAGGATATCATGACTAAAAAATGTCCAATTTTCATCATTCTATGGAGGTGTTAAGAATGTAGCACTATATAGAAAAATAGTATGAAATAGGCAAGTTGCCAAAACATTGGTAAACAATACATAAACTGTACATAAGGCTTCTATACTGCAAATAAGACTACACAATATGATGTTACAAGTGCTAGTCACCTACTTAAAATAGTTGAAGGTCACTATTTTAATGGTTGGTTTATCACGCTAGGTATAATCACTGTTGAATTGAGAAGTATTCTCCTGCTAGTTATGGATTCTGGGAGAGTTATAACAGCATCTAAACATTCTTGAAAATAACATCACTTCACATTAAACAGAGTTTTTGGAAGCAAGAACAAAATTAAAATCTCAACAATCAAAAAATTGCACAGCAACTCGCACTGGTGAAACTCCATTTAAATCCACTATGTACACTGTTATGAAAAAGAGCAGGATTTGATACCATTTAAGAAAAGGAGTGGGATATTAATAGCTAAATGGAGAATTAAATAGTTTGCATGCATGAAGTTGCTGCATTAAATGTAAACAGTTCTTTTTAACATGAGTTTCAGAGAAGTTCTTTGGTGATAACACTTTTGGCATCATGTAACCAAACTGCACTGATGACAGAGCATGTTCAGGTAAGAGACAATCTAGAAAGAGCTAGAGCTGTCTAAACAACTGACAAACATAGATGGAGAAGCCAGGGTTCTGCTCAGAGGATGGGATATTTTCAAAAGAGATACTTTACAATTAGTGTGACTTTTTCAGCAGTCCCTTTTATTTTAGGGAGAGATGGAATGACTGTATTTTAAGGTGCCACGGCAAGGCAAATGATTTAAACTAGTTCAGTAAAGGAAAAAAAAATTACTCCCTGTCTACAAACAAAACCCCCTTATTTTTGTAAAATATTGTATTTTACTGTTATATTTAAGAAACAAATTTTGCACAAACTGTTTTTATTAAAGAATCATAGAAAAGTAAGGCTGAACAGTACCTCAGGAGTCCATCTAGTTCAGTGGGAACCAACCCTTTTTGGCAGAAGTGCCATAAGATAAGCCCCAGAGCCTCCTCGAGTGTCACACTGATCCCTTTCTCTTGCCTGATCTGCTGCTCTGCTTTCTGTTCCCTACCCTGTGCTCTCTGCCCCAATCCACTGCTCTGTATTCTGCTCCCTGCATTATCTGCTGCGGTGTTCCCTGATCCCTCCCCAATCTGCCACATGCCACACGCACAAGTGATGCCTGTGCCACTTGGATCCATTTTTGTGGTTTATCAAGGTGTGTTTGAATCCTGAATCGCCCTGTCCACCAGAGCTTATGCAATTCTACATGACCTGACATCATCACGAAGGTGACTGAAAATAATAAGTATGTCATACTGTACAATAGTAGAATATTTTTAGGAAAATCGGCTTTGAACTGATAATTCTATTTCTAGTATGGTGACATTTGAGAGAGAGAATGAAACCCGAGTGATATTTCTGTCTTAAGCTATATCAGATTTTGTAGTATTTATAGGGTTAACATGTATGGAGAGGTGTGGTAGGGTACTGTTGGTGTCTGCCACTTTAAGGGCCCAGCCAAGCAGCCAGCAGGTGTTTGATTGTGGCAGCCATTTTAGATCCCTGGCCGCCCATATAAACAGAGCAGTTCCCTGCTGGCAGGTAGGCAGTAACATTGCCTGACTGCAAGGCTGAATGCAACATCCCGGAAGTAAAGGAGGAGCTGTAGGGGACAGTTTGGAGGCTCCTGGTCCTGGGCATGATCTAAAACTGCAACCTGCTGGGAGCGGGTGACCTGGTGGGGCTCTCAGTGGTGCAGGAGCCCCCAGGAAATGCCAGGCCAGTCTCCACCTTGATGAAAGGCAGGTCAGGGCGCCTTAATAACCACAGCTCCCACAACCAGGTGGGTCACCCGCTAGTAGGGTCCAGAGGGCAGACCCAAGAGAGAGAGTGGGGCTAGAGGCTCAGAGGCCTGACATAGAATACCCTCGACTGGTCAATGCTGGGGCCAGGACCAGACTGGTCAAAAGGGCCAGGGGCCCACCACGAGGGATGCCCAGAGCTGAGGGCCTGGGATTCCAACTGGCCTGGAGGTGAGGCCAGGGCCTGTGTGCCCAAAGGTCCCAGGGGGACCACGCCTAAGAGGGGAAATAGTTTCAGGGAGCTAGGCAGCCCTGAATGAAGGTGGGGTAGGCTGCCTAAACGGAGAGATCTTAGAGGGGTCCTGATTGGAGGATTCTGGGGCCCAGTGTGGGGCTGGTGACATTAAGAACCATGGATGTCATCTGCGAGGCTTAGGCTGTGGTACAGGGGAGGAATGGAGCCGCAGATAGCACCCCCTGGCGTCGGGGCAAGAAATGGGCAGCCTCCCATCTAATTACGAGCATTAATTAACAAGGCATGGCTGGCGAGACAGCAGGCAGTTGGCCCAGAACAGGTGGGCGGCGCGTTGGTAGATGAGCCAGCCCCAGAGAAGGCCCCCTGTTACAAGAGGATAAATCCATCCTTGCTATTTTCTCCTTTTTTCATAATGAAAATCTAATCCTATTTCTGAGTTACCATTTATTTTCATAGCAATTATACCATCCCCATTCAATATCTTGAATATACAACTAGGAATATCAAACCCCCATCACAAAGTTCCTGTGATGCATCCTGGGCCCTAATCCACAGCCTTAATGAACTTCACTAGTCACATGGCAGCTTTATGTTAGAACTGAACAGCACCCAAGTTCAAGACAGCTTTAGCTAGTCCTTGGTTTGTGAGCCACTTAAGAGGAGAGAATACTCCAACTTTACTCTTCAGTAGTCAGCATGGCTACAAATTCATATGGTAGAATCACAGAGTAATGTAGCAGTGATGGTCCAGGAATTATGCAAGAGGCAAAGATTTCTTAGGGTGATATCTTTTATTGGACCAACTGCATAGTTGGGATAGAGTTAAACAAGCTCTCGAATGCAAAACATTCTTCATCAGGTCTGATATTTATATACACCGTGAGCTCCCATGCACTTTGCCTTGCGCGAACAAGAAAGTTTTATTTGACCCACTGTTGCTTCTCTAGGCTTATTTTTGAGACGACATTTGTAGTCTACTAGGATGCCAAACAATGCATCAGAATAGAGCTTTAGAAATTCTAAAACTAAAATGATCAAAGGTCATAGAACAATCACAGCACAAAGTGTACTATACATAAAACATACCTATATAGCCAAAATCAAAATATAACCAAGACATACGTTGAAAGACATTACAGCACAAGTTAAAAAAAAATTATTTTCATAAATAAGCATTTGTACTACTGTTGTAATCCGTCATGGTGTTTGAAACTTCAGTGTTCAAGATCAAATTCTTTTAGACTTTGTGCAAAGAAAGTTTAATGTAAGGACCTAAGTTAACAATAACAGCATTCATTTTCCCCATGATGCTTTGAACAGGGTAATTCTAAAAGTCACTGATGTTACTCTTCACCATGACACAAAAGTTCATGACACTTCCTGCCTGAAGGTACACATTCCTAGACTCACCTTCTTCCGAATGTCTTCGTCATTTGCTCCAAGGGAAGCATAGAGCTTGAATGCAGCCTGGCGCAATTCATGAGCATGCTTTAAGTCATGGTCAAGCTATACAAAATAAATTTTAAAATATTATATTCAGAATCTTTATAAAAAATAATATAATTGTAACTTGCAAATATATCTTTTTAACTGGCATTGGTTAGTGCATGCTTACTCAGGTTTTGGCTATGCTGAGCTATGAATAAGCAGGAACACTAAAAATTTCAGATTAGCTAAGTACTGCATATGCTTACCCTACTGAATGAAATAACTAAGGTTAAGCACATCATTAAGTGCTTCAGTACAGGCTATAAGACAGTCCAACAGTCATAATGAAGAAACATATGCAATGACTCAGAAGCACAGTATTTGTAGTGTTTTCCCTGATCAAATCAGACCCTCACTTCTTCCCTTCTGAGCATGGGCTACATTCAGGAACATACCCAGGAATTGCAAGGGTTAAGTATAAGGTAGACTGGGGTCTCAGACCAAGTCCAGGAGTCCCCTTTATAGACAGATTAGAGTGCTAAGTGATCCTGTAAGAAAACTATAAGTAAAAGAATACTATCAAGCTACCTGGTTTTTCCCACTTTTTGTTTTGGAAGAGTCTGTTGCAAGCAGAGCAGTGCAATAACTGAAAGATTATTTTACTTAAATTTCAGAAGTCATTTATATATGTAGTTTCAAAACCACTCTGACAAGCATTGGGAAGTTTTGTTCTGAATAAGAGAGATAACATACCCTTTTGATATCGGTGATTGCACTGACTGAGCTAGGGTACTTGAAGTAGTCAGCAAGCATTGCAATAAGGTGGTCAGTAATGCTGGCGATTCTCTGGAGCTCAACATCCGTTTCAATCAAGTAGGCAAGTGTTTCTGCTCCTTCTACTCGTTCCTCCAGCAATCTCTCCTTACTGCACATTCGGACCAAACATGGCAGTGTCTGGCAGGCACAAAAACAGTTTAAATGAAGATAAATGTAATCTATCAAGACCTTTACAAATTCAGTTTGCTATCCAGTGCAAGTTTCTTCACCAGCATCCACATACCTAGTAACATCTTTGAGAAAAGAAGGTCAAATAACTGCAAGAATCACATACAGAAACTCAGCTTAACTGACTGAATTAGGCATTATTTGCAGTTATCACTGCAGCAGATGGTTATCATAATATCTTTTGGGGTCATAATACTCCGTGCAAATATCATGTTCACAAGTGACTCAATTAAAAAATTCTGTATGGAAGCTAAATATGTTTGTGTAAGGGTGTTTACTAGCAAAGATTTACATATGCTTTAGAGAAGAACAGATTATGCTCAAACCCACCCAAGCCTTCTGTTTTGATGCCAGAGGCCACAAGCAATGCTGTGGAGAAAAATCCTAGATACCAGAGTAAAAATTTACTGCCTTTATGTCTTCTAGCTCCTGGAATCTGCATGTCATGCTGTGTTATCTAAGAGCTGAGATAAGCAGAAAGCCCCAGGAGAGGTCTATAGCTTACTGTAAACAGATCAACAGTGAAACAAAGATTAGAAAGAGACGTGGTCTCTCCTTACTCACAGAATCTCTTAGCTGAGAATATAAGAGGCCCTGAAACAGGAAGAAAGGGACATTTGGGAGGGTGGATCTGCTAAAGCAACATATTACCAGGACTCCAGATACTCATATATATCCTAGAGTATATCTACCCTGAAAAATGCTGCATGCTGTTGTGATGCTCAATCTAGCTCAGGTCCTGGACACTGTCTAACCACAACAGCACAGAACTCAATGGTGGCTAATTTATATGGGGATTTTTTGGACGGTTAAACTATCCTGGGTGGAGTCTAGAGCTGTTAAGACTAGACTTCTTCCAGTACCTGAGCTAGCTTGTTTAAAGCTAGGTGGAGTATCTGTGCACTACACTATGGTGTCGACAGCCCCTGATTCTCCCCAGTGGAACTGCCACCAAAGATTTCTTCATTTGAGAATCAGTCAGAAGCAGCAATCTATCACAGCAGGATGACCCAGGAACTGTTCATTGAGAGAGAGGCTGAACACAACCTGTTATCAATGTGTTCATTGTAGCTCTGGCAGAACAGGACTAAGGATCATCTAGAACAGGGATGTTCAAGTTCTGGACTGCAGGTTAAGTACAAACCATGAAGCCAAGACATCTGGCATGCAGGGATCCCCACCAGCTGGAAAACCTGGCAGTGGGGAGCAGTACAAGGTCTACACAGCACAATCCAGTCTTTCCCAGGCCACTGCCAGTGCAGCAGGATCAGCACTGGGCCCGCTCCCTGCACCTCCAGATCGGGCCAGGCTACTCCCCCTCACCCCACACATAACCAGATCAAGGCAGCTCCATCCCAGCCCTCCTCACCTGTTCAGATTGGGACCACACCACCCTGCCCTGTATATCCAGGCTCCCCACTCCACCCTCCCCACCCCGTGTGTCCAGATCAGGGCCACTCCACTCTGTCTGCCGGAGTCGGGCTGTACAAACAGCCCCAGCCAGATCCAGATCTGGCCTGCGGAGGAGCCTGGAACTGCAAATCTGGCCTACAGGGTGAAAAGGTTAGGCACCTCTGATCTAGAACAAGGGGTGTCTCTCCAAATACCAGCAAAAATTGCAATATTTATTTGCTTGAGCAGCCTCTGAACTAACTTGTGTTCTTTTTGGATCTTTCTCCAACCTGGAGTATGTGCTCTACCATCAATTTGTAGAGCAAAACGTCCTTAAATGTGTTATACAGTCTGGTGAAGAAAACATGCAGAAAGACCAGGGAACACTTGCGGAAGTACCTCAAGAGTCTGAAGCATCATTATTTTCTTTCTGAAAACCCATGAGAAGGGGATGAGCTACAAAGACTAGGAGCATAAACATTTGTCAAACTTGTACTGATCAGGACATCTCCATTAGAGGGGTAGAAGAAATCCTAATTACATAAAAATCTTAAAATTCCGAAAACATGATGTGTAACACGCCAAGCCCCCTTACCAGGGAAAGTGCCTGTTTCCAAACCTGGGCTGCTGGCAAGGCCTCCACAACACTGTTGTGCTTGGGAGGCTATACATACAAAGGAGACTTTAAACCACCTCTGTACTTCTACAATCTCACGCTCCCCTCAATCCAATTAAAAGCCAGTTCAGGGCTATCAGGACATGTGGGAACCATTACAGCAATAAGAAACACATGTGAAATGGAGATGTTGGTAGAAGGGGATGCTGTGGTGGATCTAAACCACCTAAGGATCTCAATACAGAAGGTGAACCTCCCAGTGCCAGGTGTGCTACCTTTAAGCTTGGTCTGCACTGGGGGGAAGCAGTAGAAGATCTAGAAGTTTAAGTATTTCAAAGACATTCACAGAGGTAAACTATCCGTCTCTCACTCTTCCCAGGGTCCGAAGCGGCCACTGCTACTCCAACAACTTTCACTCTCCATGTATTTCCAACCAGACTCTCTTTTTAAAGATGGTTTCCACCAATCAGTGACAGAAGGACCCTGAAACTAGGTCTTTAATTCCCCTTATTCCTTCCACAACTTCTCTACTTTATATAACATGACAATCACAGCCTTGGTGACAGGCAGCATAACTCAGGAGAGATCAGTTCTCTCACAGCTGAAGATGCTTTCTGCTCCTTCAAAGGTAGACCTAAATAAAAAGTAAGTATGAAAATAAATTTAAAATAATAGAGCTAAACATTTTGCTGACATAACTGCATTGATATAAATGGACTTATATAATCTGTAAGAAATTATTTGAGTTATTTTCCAAGATCTGAACAAAAAACATTCGCTTAATCTTCTGAGGATCCATTTACATTAGAACATGAAAGAGTGTGATACTGCTCCAGGAGACCAGCACCGTCCTTGTCTTTTGAGTACTAGATGTAAAACTGTTGGCAGCATCACAGACTAAAGCTTTTCTGAAGCTTGGGAAGAGCCAATGTCATTCTGTGCGCACGGACAAAGCCTGATTTTCTATCACTGACACAAACTCTGCAGAGTCAAAAGAAAATGATTTCTTTGACAAATACTTAGGTTTAGGCCTGAAGTGTTCAATAGGTTCAAGTGCTGATGCTAACAATTCTGCTGAGTGTTGGTTGAACCCTTCAACTGCTAAGGCCTTATTCCACAAACAGGAGTTTCCCTCCTACTGCTGACTGGGGACAACAATGTCACAGAAACTAAAAAACTGTGAAAACTGTTCCTTGGCTAAATACCACTCCAGTTGCATTTCATAAACCTGAGCCATCTGCCATTATTGGGGATGATGCATATGAAGTCTCACTCTTAATTCTTCACTTAAAACTAGCATCATAAGCAAGTTTACATTGCTACACTGGATGAATTTCAAAGGCACAAATAGGAATTAGGTAGCTGACTTTTAAAGAGAGCTGGACATGACTCTACATTGTATTCCTCTGAACATTTCCACAGGCTTTAGCGGTGCTTGTTACATTTTGTGCTAGCTGTACACAAAAGTGCTAAAAATATTACATTTGCATTTTAATTTGCTTACATTTGAAATGCAACATGCACTTGTGAAGCATGCAACCAGCTTACCTTTAACACAATGCAGTTGTCATCTGTCCGGATTGCTCCAGCTCTGCACATGTAAGTAAGGCTGTAACAAGATACCAGAACATAAAGCTGCTGCCTACTATTCTTTAAATTTCTAAGGTAACTTACTGTGCAAGGAACAGATTAAATTAAAAACATACACTTCACTTTGCCCTAATGCTCATTTTAACAGGCATAATTAATCAAAATATGATACTATTCAGCATAATGTCTGCATAATCAAATTGGTTTTCCACATGCATCTTTTAGAGTTTAAGCTGTCAAAACACTGAAACTATGGCAAGACTAAGACTATGGGTTGTTTTTTGCTCATACTGACAGCACCGTAAGTCTATTATGACTCTACTAAAGTCAGTCAATTCATAACCCTCTAAAGCAGTGGTTTTCAACCTGTGGTCCATGGACCCCTGGGGGTCTGTAGACTAAGGGGTCCATGAAAGATGACTATGATCAATCAAAAGTATGTAAATACCCACACTTAAATTCAAAAGAGCCTGCATCTCCCTTTGAAATTCCCAAACGGGTCTGCACCTCCATTCAAATATTTTTAGGGTCCACAAATGAAAAAAAGGATGAAAACCACTGCTTTAAAGCCATTGCAAGCAAGGACATACTTGGGACTTATATTTACAGCAATTCTGTATTAAATACTCCAAAGAACAGAGCTCTATTATTGACACGACTCGGGTAAGCAATCCCTCTCAGAACAGCACATATGGACATGCTTAAAACCCACTGAAGTCAAAGGGATTTGAATCCACCCCAGTTTGACACAGGTTCTTGTCTCTACGTATAACAGTAACTATTGCTATGGAGAACTTCTTAAGTCTCTTAATTTCTACATGTTTAAATGTTTTATCTTAAATTCCATAATCATACAAGATTTTGCAATGAAGTCTGTGGGAAACTTGTATCCTCATCACAATTCCTAAACAAAGAGCATGCCGTTTTCTCCAGGTACTGGTGTGGTCCTTATAGAAATATCCTACATTCTTGGATGTGTTCATTGGGGTTATTATAGGGTAGGGGTTTGGTAGCTAGGTAAAGGAGTCACTAATTTCTTACAGATGGACAAGAAATATCATGGATGAGCAGTTAAATGGCAACCATGCAAGAGATTGTTGCATGGTTTTTGGAGAACCAGAGATGTATCAAAGGTGACAAAGGTTTACAGAGTTTAAGGCACTGTGGGGAACGTGGTCCTCAGTCTTTTTAGAACAGTAGTTTTCAAACTTTTTTCATTTTCAGACCCCTAAAGTTTTGAATGGAGGTGCGGAACCCTTTGAATTGTAAGTGTAGTATACACATGCTTTAGATTGATCATAGGCATATTTCACAGACCCCTTAGCTATAGCCTGTGGACACCCAGGAGTCTGCAGACCATAGGTTGAAAACCACTCTCTTAGATTTCTGTCCGTCTCAGCGGGAGCAATTCTCTCAGCTCCTAGGTTTCAAATGACAAATTGTGCATCAAGGAAGAATCAGGTGTTTTAGACTGACTTCTATTGAAATTGACAGTTGATTTAAATGTAATAATCCCACGCAAATTAACACATATTCTACCTGTGTATCAAAATGAAAGTTAGAAGGGGAAAAAACCCATCAGTTTAATTGCTCATGTATAAAGACAAGGGATGGGAACTGAGGAGCCATGGCTACATAAGCACTTATTACAGAATATAGTGCCACTTTCATGTACATAACACTAAAAATAAATCTCCATTACTCCTACAAAATTGATCCTGCCCTATGCCACCCACCAATAAAAGTGACATATCTATCTAAAAAAAACCTACTATCAAGGAAAAGCTAAATGGAAGAGATCACACTGCCCTCTTTGTCCAAAAAAATGCATCAAAACTTCCCTCCTGTCCAGTCTGAGCCTAGGTCAGCTACACCAAGTTTACCCATAACCTGGCCTGGGCAGGTATCTGGAAAGCCTAAATATGGCAATGTCCAAATTTGAAGTAAAAAAGGTAGCTGTGAGAACCATTTTGTAATGAAGAAAGTCAGAACAGTTCATTATCTCATGAGAACACAAAATGAGAGGTACAAAAAACACTCCTTACGTTGGGGGGGGGTCTCAAAAATAAATGCCCTTTGTCTTCTTTCATAACCAACCACACTGGAGACTCCCAATAAACTGAATAAACATCAGCATGGACAAATGATTTCTGTCCACTGTTTAAAGGAGGCCAACCAGTGAGATAAGCACATGGGTCACCTCCCTACCCACCCACTGCCAGATTTTTGCATATACAACTTTTCCTAAAAACAAACTGCTCGAAAACAATGTGTACATTGTCTGGAAGAAATATGGTAAGAAAAGTTTCTGCTATTTACAGGCAAAAAAGAAAGTAAAATCTGCATGGACTCAAAGGAAGCAGAACAATGAGCAGGCTCCACTCCCTAGCTGCATCTGTTCAGTTGCTCACTACAAGGAAGCATGCCCCTGAGTCCGCTGACAATTCTGCATCAGTTACACCAGGTTCAAATATGAGAAATCATAGAGACCAAAGGACTTAAAAATACCTTAGGCCCCTGGCAGACATTATACTTAAGATGCAATTAACCAATTAATCACATCTCAAACAGTAACCCAGCCACATATTCATGCAATTACTGGCATGATAAAATAGGGAATAAGCCACAAAGTTATGACACAAAAGAACTAAATAGTAGGTGGTTCCCATTGCGCCTTAAATTGAACATGTAGTCAACATCGACCAGCTGATCTGTGCTGCCAGTCTCAGGAGCACACCAGACGCTCAAAGGGCTCTCATGTTCCCCCCTGGCTGGGAATGTCCATCAGCTAATTGGCTTTCCCAGCCATGAGCGCACCAGGCACCCAGCTTTCTACTTGCTGGTGAAAGGGGACCTCAGGCTTCCCCTGCACAGACAAAAGGGCACAATTGCTATCATTTCCAAAGACTGTTAACATGTTAATATCAGAAGCCTTTAGAGGCAAGTAAAATTACTTTAGACTGTAAAGCCTTCAGAGCAGCCATTAGTTCTTACTTAGATTATTTATTAGCGTAGATCATTTTATGAAACTAGAAAAATGCACTATAGATTAAACATCTTTTAAATATAGAATTTTATGACAAAAATATTTGTGAAAGTTGCAGTTCAGCTAATGAATGCCCTTATGTTTGAATTAATATGTGCTTCTGGATTGTACAGCCAGTCAGCAACATTTTTTTCTCTGCGTACAATACATGTTGCCATATGGACAGGAAGTTAAAGTCAGCAAATATATTGGCTACTGCATGAGAACTGTTGTTCTTTGCGAATTTGTGTAATTCAAGCCTTGAAAGACCTCATGCTGCCATCCAAGCACTATCATTATCCCTAAGGTTTTACATTACATCTGACCTAATTCCCAACAACAAAGATGAAGAGCAGTTAAGTTGTTAAGCGTTAGAGAGCAAGCCCTTTCCCTCCAGATCCTGGTGAGGATTACCATTTGGCTGATGTGAGCTGCATTTCAATAGGCTTGTCCCTTTGTAACATCTTCACAAAAATCTGTGGTAACAATTCTCCATCAACCAACACTGCAAATAATGAAAAAAAAAGATTCAGAAAACAGTTCATATTCAGTTAACACAGGTCAAATGAACAACAGATTAGCCACAAGGATTTCCAGCTTACCATTTACAAGTGTCATTGATACTTGGGGATTTTCAAAGGCTAGAACTGAGAAGCATTTCAATGCTTGCATTCGAACCTGTATAAAAAAAAAAAAAAACAACAAAAGGATTTACATTTGTTTCATAAATACTAACTCAAAATAAATCAGGATATGCCACTTTATTTTAAGCTCATGTGGCTTGAAGAAAGAAACACTTGTGAAGAAATCTAGGTGCTCGTTGAACATCAGGGTTTAGGCATACAGCTTGAATATTCTACGCGCCCCCTCCCCGCCGGCGTTATCTCTGCACATTGTTTCACACAAGTTGTGTGACAGGAAGGAGAAAGCAACGACAGAAAGGTGGAAAAAGGAGGTGGCTCAGGCTACGGTCCAATTCAGTGAAGCCCTGACCAAACTGGTTGCCAACAATAAGATTGTTAGAAAGAAGGCTGCCTCATGGATACACTTTGTGGAAGCCCTTAAAAAAGTGTAAGAGTTGGGCAGAAGCCCAACAAACTCAATGGGACTTATGATCCTAAATCCCATGCGTGCTTTGGAAGGTTCACTTAAGAGCAATGCATGGATGAATTTAATTTGAGCTATTATTAAAATAAGTTGGATCTATCCCATCTACTGTGATTATATCCTCTTCTGTTATTCTCCACTTCTGCCATTGCTACTATACAGTGACATTAAAATGCATACTGTGGTGCAACAGGGCTCCTGTAAACTGGGTTGTTGTTGCATATTTGACTCCGGCATCTTGTTTTGCTATTCTGCCTATGAAGTTACTATATGATTTTGAAATTATGACCTTAATTATTGACCTTAAACAAAAACTAAGTGTTCAGTGCACCTTAGCATGCCAGTCCAGAAAATGGTTACAGTGCTACATTATATTCAGCAAACCCAGTATCAACTTCAACACCACTCAGCCATCTTCATGAAAACACTGTTAGAAATCAAGGAACTGAAAACATATTAGATTCAATCCTCAAGGTTGACATTTATATACTGCCTTTGGGGGAAAAAAAATGATTGTTATTGCTGCTGGGGCTAGGGACATACAGAGGAATAGTTTAGGCCCATATCTAGTGTCCCAGCTTCTGGAATCAGGTGATCAGATCAGCTCCTCAGCTTTCTTTATAAAAAGCCAGTTTCTAGACTTCATGGTTGCAAAGCAAGCTTGAAAATATACCAGAGCAGAGTCCACAGACCATCTGCCAGAGTCTGAAGAGAGGTTCGAACAGTAATCGTGATGTGTGAACTGCTGGAGGCCTCTCAGTAGGATGGAATCACCATGTCTCACAGCTCTGGGGGCTCTACCCAGAAGAAGACTCTGTGCATAACAAGGAAAAAGCACAGCAGGTCCAGCACCAATGCCCAGTGGCAGAGGTAAGTCCCCTTCCTAACCACCTTTGGAGAATGAGGGAGAAAGATCGCCCATTCTTCTGGGCTTTTTTCGGCACTGCTACTCTAGGTTGGAGGTGAGGCCCCAGAGGCAGAAGTACAGAGTCATAGCTTGGACTTGAGTAGACCTTTGTAAGGCTGAGCAAGGGGAACTCACGGTTTTCCATGTGCTGCACCTCAAGGTACCATCCAGGAGACTCGATACAAACTGCCTGAGCACTACTGCTCTCAAGTAGCACAGTTGCCCCTTCATCAGTGTAAATATTTGCCAGTCACATCTCCCTGTTTTTGTGTTTGGACAGGAAGGTACAACTGTCAGCTGAAGCTACTGGTTCTAGGAGGGTGTGAGGAACCATTGTCACAGAGAAAGACTAGCACTGTCCTGAGCTCTTCAAATGTCCAAGCCCCGTTCTATTGCTGAAGTAGTAAGCTCTAAAGCATTAATTTCTGAGGTGCACGAGACATGGTAGCCTCCTCACTGGTTTACCAGCCGGGCCTTTCCATTACTCAGAATGCCCCTTTGACCCCAAGGCTCAAGTGGCACAGTACAGTTCCCATCTTTTAAGACACTGCTTGCTACACCTGTTTTCTATCCTTGAATCCACTCTCCTAGAATGGAAGGATACATACGACAAGGGAAATATGCTTAACAGGACTTCAGCTTATCATAGTCTCCCCTTCTCCCACCCTAAATCCCTTGCTCCCAAGCCCCCACCGCCGCTCTCCTCTGGGTACCATGCTGGTGTTGATTTCTTTCTTTCACAACCTTATTTGCCATTTCCTCTCTCATGGCTCTGAAAGCCTGACCAGAGGGACAATGTTCTGGCTGAGACTCAGGTTTTCAGCACTTGGATTCTCTACTTCCAAGCCATAGTGCAGCCAAGGTCTCAAACACTGTCTTAGCATAAGGGAAAAGGGGGCAGACAAGACCATGCCTGCCTGATGTTCTCAGTCTGTCATCCTTGACTTCTTAGCTATATTCAGTGCTGTGGCCTACGATCCTCTCTTGAAATAGTGTCAATGGTATTTGGGTCCTTCTACCTACCTTTAATTGTATTTTCCATGTTTACTCCTCAAACCCAGCCTCCAACTTTACTCTCTTCTCTTCTCCTCTACTGTCGGCTCTGTTTGTGAGGCTCTGACTACAACATCTTACTCAAATATCTCACCCTGCTCTAACTCTTATTTCCTCTGGCCACATTCACATCTTGGCCTATTTTGCTGACAAATCTTCAAAGATGTCTACCTACCAAGTTAACTCCGTGTGGCTGAAATTAATCTCATATTGCTTCTTTCTCTGACACCAAAGACCACTGCTCTCCTCCCAGTTATTCAAACCTGTAATTTAGGTGTCAGCTTTGACCAAACCCTCACTCTACATTTATGCATCTAACCCATGCCTAAGACCTTGATATTTAGCATCTCCAGAGCCCATATTTCCTTATGTCCACATCACCAGTATGCTTATGGAGGCTTAAGCATAGAGGATATTAAAAAGGTACTTAGGGTTGAAACAGACCTTGAACCTTCTCTCTCTCTCATACTGGCCTTTGTGCCCCTCAAAAATCTACAGAGTCCATACCTTTTTCTCTTTATTATACATTATTTCCGCTGTAAAGCCTACAAAAACCTTTAATCTAATAATGGCTCATCAAATATTACATTACTCCCGAGAACTGGCTCTGTATACTTATACACCAAGCACCAACCTGGTCTAGGTGAAAGCATGCTATTTGTTACCTCTTCTCACACATCCTCATGCCCTACGAAAAGCCCATTAATTTCACTCATTCAGTGTGTCCAACTTAAAGTCAGAGACCTCTTTGGGACACTGGGTGCATCTACACAAGATGCTACGGCGCAGTAGTGTGTAGACATGGCTGCTGAGTGTTAATTTTCACTTACACAATGCATAGCACAACAGCTCCCTGAATGCCACCATGATAAAATCAGCTTCTACGTATTCTTTTAAATCTTTACGCAATTTTCTCTCATGAAGATTAGTCAGAAATAGAAGCAAAAGTGAAAAAAAATGGAATTCAGTCAATCTTAGCAGTAATTACAGACAGGGTTCCTGAAAAAGCAGTCACAAACTGGGTGGATTTGATTTAAATGAGATCGATTTAAATCATGATTTATATCACTAGTCAGGAAGCCTCAATTTAATCATTGTTTTCTATAAAAAAGTTCATTCTTTTTGTTTGATATCGGTTATTCATTTAACTTCTTGAAACGTTGTACTTTTAGAGATAAGTAAGGGCTTGACTGTGTGTACACAAACTTGCAGAGAGACAAGAGGGCTGATGGGTGGGTAATCAGGTCTGTTATATCTCATCTCCCTATACTGCTAACAAGGGTGTTATCTCTGGAGACAACAAACTCTTCCTATGCCTGAAGAAGGGCATTTGTGCCTAAAAGCTTGCAAAGAACAATTTTTCCAACTATTTAGTTGGTCTAATAAAAGAGATCACATCTACCCTCATCTGCCTATGATCTCTGGAGGCACAAATCCACAGTTTGAAACTAAGCATCACAGAGATGCTTAATGGGATCTTCTAGACTGAGCACTGAGTCCCACTGGGTAGAGTGGTTTTCTTTAATCTTTACTAATCTGTACAGGAGCCTCTGGGGACCCCAGAAGATTGGGCCCCTAAAATAGACGATTGCCTGTTGTGACCTAT